GGGTGACCTAGATTACCTGTAAAATAATTTATTATCAGGGGCAGTCTTCACCAGAGCACTATTGAGTATACTCTGAAGTTAGCTAAGCTCTTCAGGTCATATTTAGGTATATAAAGTCGCTCGACAGCGGAGGATTGTTCGTTGTCGCGACTTGACCTGCGGCGAGAGATAAGACGGCACTTGCTACATAACGTTTATCAGCTCTGATTAACTCGATATGGTAGGTTGAAGAATTCCCAAATGTGTTCCGGCAAATCCCTAAAATGTCTGGCTGACAATCTGCTTCCTTTTTACAGGTCTAAGTGACACTGGATATCCTTCGTCGTTAGGCAGTACGGGGAGAGTCTATTCACGGCAAATGGAATGAAATGGAGAAGACATCGCAGGGTCATTGGCCCTGCGTTCAGGCACGAGATGTAGGCTCATCCCGAGCTGTATCCTTGTGTCTCTGAAGTCTCAACAGGCTCTAGATATGAGCTTGTCCGAAAGGAAACAACCACAATCTACCTTGAAATGATCACGGCTGGGAAATGGGATTCTGAGTCCAACATAACTGTTTCAGTCATCAGCGACTTGACGCTCAAGGTAGTATTGTCTCCAGTCTGAACCGCTCCAGAAGGTCGCTCTAATTGTTCTCGCACGGTGTGCTTTTGGGAAGCGCATGCCTTGGGAGCCGACGGAGGACGATGGTCTCAATGTACTGAGTTTGCAAAAGCCCTTGTTACAATTTCTGAAACATTCATTGAACGGCTCATTCTGCCGAGATGGGCTTATAAATTCCTCATCCCCTAGTAGATCTCCTACATTTATTCAACATCTTGATATAGGTCCGTCAGCTTCCGCAAGATAGAAGGAAGATGTGTATCGAACATTGACCAGACATAAGCTGAAGTTCATAGACACACGTCATCCTGGCAACAATGACAAAGACAGGTTGGATGTGTTCAGTCTGCTTTGCCAGGCTAGCGAGGCAGAGGGCAAGTTCCTGATGACAAGCTGGTGAGTGTCCAATACTCGCCCATCCACGGTTTCACCACGTGTTTCTCGAATAGATGGGAAATACATGTTTTGTGTTATGGGCTGGACATGGTGCGATACAATGTGATCTCTCAGTCACTCTCTGCGTGTTTTCAGCTTCACCCTTGGTTTTTCAGACACAATGTCCAATTTATGGAATGCGACCATCAGCTTCCTCGCAGTTCATCCAAAAATTTGGGAGGAGCTGTACCAAGATGTTGTTGAACTTGGGCCTGATGGACAACCCATAGTTAGGGCACGTGATCTATCTTGTCGGGCATATGCTGATGATTCGTAGCCTTTTGCCGCCAGCGGCAAGCTTCATAAAATGTCGTCGCACTGGGTGCACGAGCCCATAAGTCTAGGGAGAAATTCAAGATTTATGTCAAAACTTATGCGGGGAGAATTTACCGTGATTCTCGTGACTCACGCCAGAAACATTTGAACCAAATTTGGTCCTTATGAGAAAGAAACTTGATAGAAAGTCTAAACCTGGCCTTTCTAACCCGTTTCTGTCCATTTTCGGTATTAAAATACTTTTGCCTTTGTTTTGCCACTTATGCTAAGATCTCCCCGCATAAAGCTCAGCATCAGTCTCGCATATCTCTAGAAACTTACGCAATCCTGCACCCAGTGTCGTGTTTCCTAGAAGCAGGACGCCTCTTCTGTACGTTGAACTACACCCTTCTCTTCGTGATTGTTTTTATCTTGAGCTACTACAGCGGCAAGATATCTAGCTATGAGACAAGCTCCATTTTTTATTTACATGACCTCTTTATTGGAGATTCACTGGTGCTACGTTCTCTGGGGAGCTAGAAGAGTGGTGTTGTGCAGCCTTGGTTGTGTGTGACGGTAATTCTCACCGCCACTCTTGGTACCAGCACCTCTTACTTTCGGAATGGTACTCTGGACGTCGATATAGAGGCTGCAAAACCTGAGAAGTGGGTGAAGGCAAGACCTAGGCAACAACGACTTGTGGAATACAAGCTGCAACTCCCAACAATCTCTCAATCCATATTTATTCATCATCTGCTTGGCATTGATCGCAGTCCAAAAAGTTACCTGCTGTAACTGCTCCATTATGCCACAATAACGACCCAATGATAACGTCTGCTACACTTGTCATACCTCCGAGCAAAAATTCACGATCCAAAGTAAACTTTTCTTGCATTTCTTCGTGGCATGTTTCGTTCCCACGTTGCTAATGAGTGAATTGATGCTTGCCCGATATACCGATATTGGCAAAAAGGTAAGCCGAATCTGCCAAGGTTGAGAAAAACAAAAAAAACCCATTGACAGTGATCACGAACCAACAACCAAGGACAAGTATTTTACGAGGGGTGGAGCATAAGACTCCTCGAGGCTGCCAGTTATACCCACTGGCTATTTGGTTTAGGAACCATCTAACCAGTGCTTGGAAGATTGGTATGATGGCAGCCAAATTGGGATTTCCTGTCAGGTTTCTTTCTAAAACATTCATCTTGTCAACAGTCATACTGCACAAGACGCCCTGCCGAGTTGGATTCAGTCAGCACGACAAATTGAGTAATGAGTTGATCAATGGGCGACGCAGCTGGCTACATGAGAATAATGTAGGTGGGAAAAATATACTCATTTCCTTTTTTGGGTCGCTCAACAACGTGCCTTCCGTGTAAGAATATCAGAAATCTCACATGTCAAACCGTCCTCTCCAACTCGCTGAAGGCCAGCTAGCAGCAGCCTTTGCATCTCGCCGAGTCCCGACCTTATTCACATGCAACTACTTACCACAAATAACCAGTCAACTCGTGTTCGGACCTGGATCGAGGAAATATCTGGAAAAATACTTCAATCGACCGGTAATACCCATCTTCCGTTGATTAGCAGAACGTATCAGCTATCACCATGGATTGCAAATTTTAGGTAGACGACGGCGTATTGCCTCACAAGACTGATGAACACTCTCAGTTTCACCAAAATGATGTTGCTCAGAAGCACTCCGCGATTTGTCCCAATATAAGATAGGTTAAACATGAACTGGTCAGACAAGTTACAACTCATACCCTGGTGGTAGGAAAATGACCTCCGATACGCTTGAAGGACTCCTAGAACCTTTCCTCACGGTCGAGACGGTCATCGTGCAAGTCGTTGTCACCCTGTCGGTGAGTCTTGCAGCGATATTGTGCTTGCATTGAGCTCACTAGCTATATTAGTTGTTGTTCTTAGTCTACGGTGAGTAGTATGCACTTTGCCTAGCGTGCTAACCATCCTAATCCTCTAATCAATCAGGTTTATACACAATCATTTTCGGTCTCTGTATCCATGTCCTCTACCGTCGGAAACAGTCTGGGACCGGATTATACCCAACATGCACGATAGCACTATTTGCTCTGGCGACCCTATTTGTCTCGGCGGAAGCGTTTGGCTTGACACGCCAGTCAATCGTCTATTTTCGCGCCCTGAAAACGCGGAACTACGAACCCCTCAACGACTATCTCTTGCAAGACAATGGCCGGACTACCTGGGTGTAGGTTCCTACACTTCGCTGCATTTGGTGTGCTATCACTCACTCCACTGACTCTCGATATTCAGTGCCATGATTTCCTTCTCATTCTCATTTATGAAGTGCGCTGGCCGACCCTCCTCTGTTTGCCGATCACTTACTAACTCTATTGTTGCATTGTAGTGCTATTGCCGATGTCATGCTAGTGAGCACAGCACTACTGATTGCCAAAGTGATTGCGACGCTGATTTGGAATAGATACACCGGGCATACATTCTCTGGGAGTCTAATAGACTTATGCTGTACGTCCTTGCTTTGCCCGTTTTTGCGATCAATGGTATGCAACTACCCGCAAATTGACAAGTTGCCAATCCGAGCGGCCACTAACGAATATTCATTTTATTCAGTCACAAATTTCGTGGTGTCTGTCATGCTGTCCGTCGGGATGTCCAAGCTCTCCATGAGACACATTTATGACGCAGCCGAGCCTATCAATACAGGTGTTTCCATAGCTAACGCAATATTCAACGCTTTGTTATCGCTACTCACCGGTGAGTCCTTCCGAGCTATCATGAACGTCAGCTGACAACCTCGTCTCTGAGAGTAGCCGGTAGAATTTGGTGGGTTAGTCGAGAAGCACGAAAACTAATGGGGAGGGGCGTGCACACAAAATACAAGGCAATTGTCGCTGCTATGTACGTCCTCAAAATTCCTCTCTATCAGCTCATACTTAAAGGACATCGGTATTCTTTTGATCAGCCTTGAATCGGGGCTATTGTACCCTACCACATTGCTCGCATCGATCGTGATACCCCGCGTGCTGGATCCAAGGAATGAGGGCTTGGTTCCTGTTGACCTTGGCCCCATAGCCACTCTGATGTCGGCAAGTATCCCAATTGCGCCCACTGTGGGATTATGAAAACTGAGAGCCTCTCGTCTATATAGGGATTAGCACCTACGTTAATAATCGTCCGCGTTGCATACGGCAAACCGGTGGAAAGCGTCCAACAAATGATGTCCCTTCGATTCGCTGAACATGACACTCAACGTGGACCGGGAAATACGAGCGCGGTACGAGCGACTATTGATATTCGATCTAGTCCTCAGAACGAAGTCATGGAAATTGACCTCGAAGCCTCAAGGTCGGAGGGGAAGACGAACGGCCTGCAGATGACTTAGAGGGTCGGAACAGCCGACAGAGATACGATCCATTGGAGAGGAAAGATTCAAGGACTCTTTGTACAGCTGGCCTGTTGCAATCAGGGCTTCTGGGTGTTAGTACAGCAACTGGTCTTGTCACGGTCTTGCCTTACTAGATTAGCTAAAGCCCCGACATGTATATGTTTCGTACGCCTCATCAACTGATCGCGAGTTCTCGAGAATAGAAAAGCAATGCAAGGATCAATCTCAATGGAATGCGGATCCACTCCAAACTCTGACTTGCAAAGCGTGGTGTTGATAGGAGGAAGTGAGGATGCCCAAAAATCAATCAGATTGAAACTGGACACTGTGGGATTTGAACCCACGACCTCACGCAATTCACATCTTCATGCGAAGCGTGCGCGCTACCCCTGTGCCAAGTGCCCGATGGGAAGTTAACCACAAAGGAATCCGAGAGGAACTCAAGGTCTGAGCTTGACTGCGGCCGGCGTGGTGGAGCCGCAGGTCGGTGGGAGGATGTCCTCCGACAGTCTGAAGGTGACCTAGCTGAAGACAACAGCTTCATGGGAGGAATACCCCAACGGTGAAGACTTAGCTGCCTGGCCATTTACTGTGTTATCCTCGTAAAAGAACGGACGCTCAGAAAACAAGCCAGTCGGCACGGCAAGCATACCATGACCCCTTCCTCCTCATAGCCCCGCTTAATCGATACGAGTCGAAACGAGTACTCATAGCCTTCATATTCGTGGTAGTGGCGGCAGAAGACACGCCCAACAAAGTGCCGACTGAAGAGCTTCCGTGACGGGAGGAGGTTGGTAGTGGGCGACGGGTGTCAGACAATCAATGGTCGGCTACAGAATCGGAAGCTCAAAAGCTGAAGCCCGCACTCCTCTACCTCAGAGCCGCAGCACGATATGTGGGTGCCCGAGTCTCCTAGTGGTGTCCTGACGATGTCCGTGTCGATCTAGAGCCCAACGGAAATAGTCACGATAGCGGTTAAATTCCGACCAGATGATACAGACCATCGATAAGCAACGTATCCCAAAAATCTGGCTTCACCCCGCCAAAATCCTACGTCAGAGCTTCCGTGACCGATCAGGAATACCAACATGATGCATGAATCGTATTGTCCTACACGTCGGAGATGGTAACGAGCAGTACGTGTATCGCCGAAGCGTAGAAACCGCACGGATCATTCAATACGGAGCCGTCCCCGCATACAAGCTGGCTTTACACCATCACAGTACCGAACTTCAACTGCTGGCACTGCCAGCGAGAAATCTGAAGGTGCAGCTTTCTCTGAGAACGATCTCGAGTTGTTGGGCCCCAGTTCGAGACCTAAGGTCTATCAGTGAGAGTCCAAGACTGATAAAGAGAACAAGTGCCTCACGAACGTGCCAAGCGTGCATCGCGTACATCCCTCCATAATCTTACATTTCCGTTAACCACCGCCGGGTGGGATCCTCAACCCCGAATCCATCATACCCGGCATAACCTCGGGAACACTGTTACGGACCAACACCTCCCGGGAGTATCGGTGAGCCAAAGTTGGAAGAATGATTTGGATTAGGGAAGGTTACGATATTGTTTAGCTTTAGGGTCCGGGCATCGTTGGTGACGACAGGAATGAGATTGGATGAGCCAAGCGCATCTGGCGTCTTGTTACAGAACGATGATGACCAAGGCATCTTGAGATAATGTTAGGAAGGGGCATAAAAATCAAAATTGTCGTCACACACCTTTCGAAACTATGAACCCTTTGACCATGACGTCTGTCTCCCGCAAGGCAGCAATACACCACAAGGGATCACTTGTACTTCCATTTAACACTCGAGTTGGAGACGCTGCTTTACCCTCCAACACCATGTCATTGGCTCCACGCTGTTGGGGAACAAAGAAGTCTGTAACGGAAGAGTTCGATTCTGATAGGCATATTTGAAGGATGAGGGATAGCGACGCCGTTATTCGTGTCGATGACCCGGTATTTCTGGCTACCCACACAGGAGGCACTGACGTGTTTGAAGAGTGAGTGGGGAAGATAGAAAATGACAGAGGGCAAATACCTCCACCCTATCGGAAGAGTCATCCATGATAGTTCCTTCCACCCATATACACGACTACGCACGGTAAACAAAAGCTGGCGACTTTAGCACCGTCAAGGTATCCCTTCTGATCGTTAACTATGAACTGCGACTCGGCGTGGCGGACAACTGTGTGACGGATGGGAAGAGGCGAATACTGCATTTTTTGCCATAGGCTCAAGAGATAGGACTGGAGGTCGGGATGACGATCTATAATCGGGCGTGCTCAGTTGATAGTGCTTAGAGAGTGCAGAGGGGTGGGGCTGGACATACCGGAGGTGCCATCTGGCAAGACAAACAACCTCAGCCTCGATTTCGAGCGAGTACAAGACAGCCTTGTACCGTTTTCCAGCGAATGGGATAGTATATGAACGCGACGAACAGTCGCATATTCGCCTGCCACGTCGAGGGTCGAGTCGAAGATTTCCAAAAATTCCACTGAAGAGCATGTCTGTATCGAGACTTTACATCAAGTTGCTGCCTACAAAGGGAGTTGTAACTGGATGAGACGTACCGGATTACGGGTGGTCGAGCATCGTCGCAATTTTCCAGCCATAGTCGATGCATTCCTCATCGAATCCCATCCATTTCATATCAAGTAGAACTCGGCGTATTTTCGGCCAGAGGAGTTGTCAAAGCTTTCTTAAAAAGCTGATATCCGCGAATCGTCTCCTGTTGAAGAATAACGATGTTTGAGAGGCAGGAGATGAAGGAAGAATGCGGATATATACCTTGCCGAGCTGAGCAAAAGCTCCCTCCATTCGCGATACGAATGTCTAAATGTAATTGTTGCCGGCAGTAGCAAACAGCTTGAAACGGGCATATCGAGATGGTGGATAGGAATGTCACCGTGTAGCGGCGAGTTACAGTGTCACATCAGTTACTCGCAGTCACGTATCACGAATAGTGCCTTCGCACGTTTCCAACTTTCCACCCAACCTCCACCGAGGAATACTGTCTATTGTTAGAGTGTACGATCACCGGAACTCTTGGTTTTGAAGCCATGAGATTCTGGCAGGCAATTTCTTTTCACTGCAGATCGTTCAAACGCCTCTTCGCCGCACTCCGAGTTTTGGCATTGCTCGATCAGTCGAGACTCGATGTGGATTGATGCGACATTCGTTATAGTGACCTAGCCCATCGTGTTAGTCGAGAAGGGAAGGGAACTTAGTCCCGACCTCATAGCTCAGGCTCCATAGGTGAGCCTACTTACCTACCGAGGCGCATTGGCGACTAGTAGCCACTGTAGTTGGTCTCCTCGCGACAAGGACCATCAGATTATCTTCCAGAAGAAACGGCTAAGTCGTATCACAAGGTGCACAGAGCTTGCCCTAGTATACGCTCATAGAGCCAGGCATCAACATCGCGATCAGGGCTCACGAGATCGCCTGCCACACTGAGGCTGTTGAAGCCAGGATTTCGAGTAGAGGTCTACTCGGGAAGTGAAGTAGACCATTCAAACTAACCTCGTTGTTCAGCTTCAATATCAGGACTGTGGAACATCGGAAAGATATAAAATACCTCACAATACCTCACAATACTCATTCTATTCATCGAGACCTGAGAACCGACATGCCTAGTTCAGGAAATTATGAACAGCTCGTTAGTCCCTTCCTTACGGTTCAAACCGTTGTGCTGGAACCCATTGTCACTCTATCGGTGAGTAGGAACTTCCCTCGCATCTCGCAGCTCTGAGGGTAGCTTACCTTGATCTGCCAGTCCTTATACATAGTCTACGGTACGCACAGATTTGCATGATCAAATAGTCTATTGACTCAAACAACCTCCTTACCAGGAGTGTACACGATTGTGTTCGGGCTGTCCGTTCATGTTCTTTCCAGCCGCAAAAGGTCCCAGTCAGGGTTGTACTTGATATGCACAATTCTCCTATTTAGCCTTGCAACCTTGTACGTTGGAACCTCAACAGGTGGGGTAACTCGGCAATCCGCTATCTTCTTTCGTGGCCTCCGCGCCCGGAAATATGAAACTATGGTCGGGTATTTGAGACATGACAAGGGGAAGACTGCCTGGGAGTAAGTGATTTCGCGTCACAATCTCTTTTCTCTTACTTATCCTTCCCGCTCTCCCAGATGCATATGCAGCATCACAGCCTGTCTCATGAAGTGCAGTTACTGTTTACCTCCCTCATAGTTGCTATCTACTAATCTACCATCTCGATGAAACTGGAGCGCTATCGCCGATATCATGCTTGTGAGTGCCCGGTCGGCAATGCCTTGAGCTGAATCTCAACCTCAGATGTGCCTTAACAGATACACCGCTGCCACGTCCTCTGGGGATCAAAAGTCCCCCTACTTGTTGCTCTTTCATTTGTAGCATTCGCTCTCAACGGTGCGTTTGTCTCCTGTATATTCCAGGGGCAGTTCTTACAAATCTTCGTGCGTTGTGTGTCGATCTCAGGTTTAGACCTCGCAGTGTCAGGAATCATGATACCTCTCGGACTCGCTAATACTACCATCAGATCCCGGTATCTGTTTGTTACGGCTAACAACATCGGCGTGGGTTGGGCGATAGCGAACGCTGTCTTCAATAGCGTATTGTCGGCTTTGACAGGTCAGTCAGTCAGCACTCTTCAACATCTTCGGCCTACTTCATCAGAAGGCTCGACTCCGTTTACTGTAGGTGGTAGAATATGGTGGATTAGTCGTGAAGCTCGACGACATATGGGAGCGACCACACATTCGAGATATAAGGCAATTGTTGCTGCCATGTACGTATTCTCTTCTGCTTAGTATATATTGCTACTTCAATAACACCATCTGTCACTCTTGTCGGTGGTTTTCAAGCATTGAATCAGGACTCCTCTACCCCACCACCCTCATAGCATCAATGCTGATCACCTCGATACTCGACCCAGAATCTCGTGGTACAATCCCCGTCGATCTAGGTAAAGTAGCGAATATGATGTCGGTAGGTGATAGTTACCATTGTCTTGAGCCCGTTCAAAACATTTTAAGTATGACTTCGCAGGGTCTTGCACCAACGTTGATTATCGTACGCGTCGCGTATGGGAAATCAGTAGACAGCGTTCAACAGATGATATCTGACACCTCTATCCAATTTGCCGAGCCCGGACAAGGATCCCGACGGCGAAACGGCGAAGACATACTCAGAGGAACGGCGATGGATGAGCCTCATCAGAGTCAAGGCCGTGGACGGTGCTCGGCCGGAAGTAATGTCTCAAACAAGGACCGAATGATCCAAGCAGTATGAATACAGTTATCACTTCCAGTAATTCTCGCACCCATCTACTTACTATTGGCTCCATCGATGATCTATTATGACCAGACAGCGGTCATTCCCTCTTAGAAATACTCCCCACTCTA